TGACAATCTTCACATTGATGTCAATATTCCTACACTTGATCGACGCCGCAAATATCTTCTTCTCCGCTTTTATCTTCGTTGCTGCGCGAACCCCTCGAATCCCTCTAATCAAATACTTACAAATCGATATTCTTCGTCTCCTCCAAGTGACCCTGAAAGGAGATTCCCAGTGATCAGTTATCGCGTAGAGAAGGCTCTTAATCATTTCAACATTTCTTTCCCGTCCATTTTGCCTATCCCCCCTCTAACCTCTTTCTGGCTGGCACCCATCCAGAATGTAGATCGTCTTTTCTCAGAAAATAAGAAACATGTCTCCTCACAAGAAATCTCTCAACTCTTCATACAATATGTAAATCAATACAACGATCATACTTTCTTTTATACTGACGGATCACTATCAAATGGCAAAACAGGCGCTGGTGTTACATCAAAAGTCTACGAAACCTCCATTCGCCTGCATAATCTTTTCACGGTTTTTTCAGCTGAACTATCAGCGATTCTGCTAGCTATTATCTATATCAATAAACAACATATCCAAAAAAGCGTAATTTGCACCGACTCAGCTTCGGCAGTCAGTGCCATCTCAAGCAGAAAAAAAGAAGACAATCATATAATATACATTATCAAGAAACATATAATTACAATTCAGAAAAAAGGATTTGAATTCCGCCTGTTGTGGATACCAGGACACGCGGGGATTCCCGGTAACACAAGGGCGGATCTCCTAGCGAAAAATAGCCTAGACAAACCGGAAAGAAACACAATTCGTTGTCCGCACAAAGATATTGCTAATCATATCCAAAATGCTCTTCTCGACCTTCGCCAATTCGACTGGAATAGTTTCCCAAATCAACATCTACACCCGATTCACCCAAAAATCAAATCATTTGCTTCTTCCAATCAAAGTAATCGTCTTAGAGAAACGGTATTGGCCAGGCTGAGAATTGGACACACCAGTACCACTCACCGATACATCTACCAGCACGAACCCCCACCCACATGCCCACATTGCACACCACTAACACGACTCAACATTGCCCACCTCCTTCTCAACTGCCCACACTACGATCAATACCGTCAACCCATCATTCACTACACAAACACACACAACCTCAGCCTGGACCTCCCAACGCTCCTGGGTGATGATCATCCAGATCTAATTGAACTTCTCTTCGTCTTCCTCAGTGATTCGAATCTCATCAATAGCATATGATCGCAACCCAGCACACGTATTTAGATACTCTTATGATCTTCCATCGTCGTCTCCATCCGCTTCGTTTTGCTTCCATTCGCTTTCGTTCTCGTCGTCTTTTCCAAGTGTATACATATATGTGTGTAAGCTCGACAGGGATCCCTCTTAAAGGTTGAGGCCCACTCGAGACACAGCCACAAACACACATACACATTAGCGATATAACGTAACGTAATATAACGTAATTAAAGAAAGGGCTTTTTTACTGTGTACTTTGGCTGAAAGCACAGGTTTTTGCCCTCTTGGTTAGGCACCAGGTTTTTTCTAGTTAGGACTTTTCCTGGTAAAGTTCACCCCACAACAACACACACCAAACAACAGCACACAAATCAGCAGCAAGTCACAGCAGCAAGTTCTATGTAAGTAACCAAATTTATTGTCTCGCCCATCAGGCACCTTTCGGCCTTCCCTTTGCCTTGCAACCCACCGGACGCCACATGAGCCGGTTTAACGTAGTCTTTTGCATTTCTCTTAGTTCTTGGGCCGGAATCAAATAGCCGGCATTAACGTAACGTAAACGAAAGACCTGGCCAATTGCCAGCTAGTAACTTTCCCCCTCCCCCGGCTATAGCCACTAGGCTTACCGGGAGGACAAAAAAAAAAAAAAAAAAAAAAAAAAAAAATCGCATAGATGATCCCTACAACGCCACGGCCCTAATGACCAAACACAATCATCGGCGGATCTGTCCGGGCAAAAACGAGATGGGGGGGGGGGGGGGGGACGAGGGCAAATGATAAATGTAATTGACAACTGCGTGGGTGGTATGATGGTAATTGCGTTTCTAGAAAGTTGTAAAACTGTCAAGAAAAGTTTGCCGACTTTTACATATTTTGATGCATTTCTTGTAATTGTTAGCATTTTGTTCAGTGCGAGTCCTAATGAACATGATGGGGCCATAGAAAGGAAGTCGGTGGAAATTCTAGTCTGATGGTCGGAAGCAATGATTACTGAACCCATTAAAATTCTGTCCGTTTTCCAACTGCAGGCGCGGATCCAGGGGGGGGGCGACGGGGGCGGCCGCCCCCCCCGACATCCGAAAAAGGCGCCCATAGCCCGCGGCAGAGAGGGCGCCCCGAGCAAAACAGAGGCGACACAGCAAAGGTTGAGCAGAAATAGGGCGCCTCCAGCAGAAGTTGGGCTCACCAAGCAGGAGAGCGACGCCCAATTGCCCATTCCCAGCAGATCAGAGTCGCCCCAGAAGCAGATGGGCGCCCCCAGCAGGAGAGGGGCTCTTATTACAAGAATAAAAAGATGCCTTCTGTTCAAGAGGGGCACTCCTGGCAGGAGAGGTGTCCCCCTGAAGAGGAGCGACGCCCCAGCAAAAGTAGAGAGGCGCCCCCATTCCAAGAAGAAGAGGGGCGCCCTAACCGCAGATGGGCGCCCCAACAAAGAAAAAGAGAAGCCCCATAATAAAAAATGGGTGCCACTGGCAGAAAAGGGGCGCCCCCGGCAGCGGAGGGGGTCCAGCAGGAGAAAGGAGCCTCCAGCAGGAGACGGGCGCCCCAGCGAAGGGGGGCGCCCCAGCAGAAGAGAGGAGCCCCCTGCAGGAGAGGGGCGCCCTCAGCAGAAGAGGGGCGCCCCAGCAGAAGAGAGGCGCCACAGCAAAAGTTGATCAGAGATGGGGAGCCTTCAGCAGAGGTTGGGCTCGCCAAGCAGGATAGGGGCGCCCCATTGACAATATCCGGCAGAAGACAGACGCCCCAGCAGCAGATGGGCGCCCCCGGTAGAAGAGGGGCGCCTCATTACAAGAAGAAAAGGAGTATATTCTGCACAAGAGGGGCGCCCCTGAGGCAGCGGAAGGGCAACCCCAGCAGAGGGGCTGTGCCCCAGTAAAAGGAGAGTGGTGCCCCGCTCCGAGCAGAAGAGGCCCGCCCAAGCAAAAAGAGGAGCCCCATAAGAAGAAAAGGGATGCCTCTGGCAGGAGAGAGACGTCCCCCGCAATGGAAGGGCGCCCCCAGAAGAGGCGTCTCTAGCAAAAGATAAGTGCCCCTGCAGGAGAGGGGCACCCCAGCAAAGGTTGGGCAGAAATGTGGCGCCCCCAGTAGAATTTGGGGTCGCCGAACAGGAAAGGGCCGCCCCATTCACAGTAGAAAAAGGGACTCCCCAGCAGCAAAGGCGTGCCCTAACAGAAAAGGTGCGCTCCCAGTAGAAGCGGGACGCATCAAGAAGAAGAGGGGCACTTCTAGCAAAAAAATGGGCGTCCCAGATAAGTGGGCCGCCTACAGCAAATTGGTCGTTCTTAGAAGAAATGAGGCTACTTCAGCAAAGTGAGCCTCCCCATGACGGATTGGGCGATCCAAGCAGAGGTTGGGCGCAAATATCTTTAAAACGGCGGCGCTGCGCGCAGCCGTCTTAAAGATATTTGCGAAAAACCTAGGGGGACGTGACAACGCACGGCGTGGGTTTTAAACTCTCGATTTTGACGACGGTTTGGCGCCCCCGGATTGCCAGGTCGCCCCTATTTCAACTTGCCGCCCCCCCCCCTCCCGAAAATTCCTGGATCCGCCCCTGTCCAACTGTTCAGTGAAGACGCATTGTGAAGCACACAGCTGTTGAATGGCTTCAACCTCAGGGCGTGCGATTTCGGTCGCCAACTTTCCCTATACCTTCTTTATCACAATGCTCGACGTGTATGCACAAGGAAAATGTGTCTGGCTTTGCCTTTATGGCAACTTTCACTCTGCATTTGAACTTCCTGTATGCAACAGCTGAATTCAGGAGTGGATTCGCTGTTTCTAGATAGTATTTCGTTTACGATGACTGGTCAACAGCGAAATGCTTCAAACGAGCCTGGATATGGAATATTTGGTCTAGCGACTGTGCATTACCTACAGTTGACTACACCTTTTTGCACTCAAAATAGGCATCTTTTCATTCAATTTCGGCGAATTGCATTCAATTTTAGCGATCTCTCATTTGCTTCGAATAGAGAGATCGCTAAAATTGAATGCAATTCGCCGAAATTGAATGAAAAGATGCCTATTTTGAGTGCAAAAAGGTGTAATATCTACCCTAACAACCCGTTTGGTCACACACGTACCGGCCAAAACTGGTTACATGAGCTTGTCAGGCATGCATTGACGTACAAATAATTCATCACAAAATCCATCCATGCTGACCTCATCCTGCGTCATTTATGAGTTCTTTAAATAGTTCATAACTTGGATTCATCGGCTTATAAAGCCCTTGCCTGAATCATCACCGTGGCTCTCGCTATTTTAGGCTTTTCCTTTTCATTTGAATCTTGAGGAATGTGACTGTTATTTTCTTCGGACAGAGGAGCCCGATGTTTAGCGGTGTTTACTCGCCATTCGCTGCAGAATGTTCGGATAAACGGTGGCCTGGTAAACGTGGCTGTTTTTCATCGACAACTTTCGTAAACTGGCACGCAGTTCTTTTGGCTGTGGACTGCGAAAAACTACTTCCGAACAATTTCCAAACGTTCGCTGTTTTCGCGTTTTCTGTCGCACAAAAGCCACTGCCCAATAAGCGATGTCTTCGCTTTCCCAGGTATTGCATACTGGTTTTCGGGTCCCTTCTGCTCTCAAGTGAATTTTCCATGCCCAGTGTGATAAATCATTCATCAAGAAATTTTGCAAGACTTCAGTTAGCTATGCTGTCCTGGCAAACGCTCTCTTTCTTTCTCCAGCGTTACTTCTCATGCCTTACCCTGTACACCCCCTCCCCCTTTCGTTTACTAAATCCTGACCCCCTTGTACCAAATCCTGACCCCCCGCCCCTCCCCAGGTGGAGATTGACTCCTGGGAGAACAAGCGCGGCCCGCGACCCTGGGAGGAGTCGGCAGCGATGGATGAGCTGCGCGCGCGCCAGGCGGCCCGGGAAGCAGCCTCAGCCGCGCACTGACACCCGCCGCCCCGCCGCCGCCGCCGCCACCGCTGCCGCTCAGAGAAGGAAGGTCAGTGCCAGCGCCCCGCCGCGCGTCCCGCGCCCACCGAGCGGCGCTCAGTTCCCGGCCGGCTGCCGGCGTTGTGTGGCGCGGACCCGTCGCGCGGCGAGCGGAACGCGGTGTGCGCGCGGCCAGCGCTCGATCGGCCGCGGAACCGAGCGAGCGAGCGAGCGCCGCCGGCGGCTCCGACGGGTCGATACGGCGTGCTCAGTGTGGGGCGGTGGGCCAGGCGAGTCGGCCGGGCGGGGAGGTGTGGGACGCTGGGCGCTGCGGAGAGGCGGACCGGGAGGTGACGAGGAGGAGAAACTCGAGGAGGTAGGTGTGGAGGTCGCTGGGCTGGGCTAGCTGTGCTGGGACTGTGATGTGGCTATGTAATGAACTGTGGTTTAAACATGTGTTATTATGTGTTGTGTAATATTTTGTTGTGTGGTACGCTGCGTAGTGTGGAGCTGTGTGGTGCTGTGCTATGGTGTGAGCGAGAGCTTTGAGTGGTGCCGTCAGCTGATGTGGGCCCGCTGAGTGGGTAGGTTGTGTTGTTTTACGTGAAACAGTTTGTTACGTGAAAATGTTGGCCCGTTCATGACCTCTTCCTCTTTGTGTCGTGGTTTGCGTTGTCTCAAGTCAATCATGTTTCTGTCCCTTTCTTTTGCGGTTCTTTTATCTTTACGGTGATCTATTGCGTAAATTGCTAGACGACTCTTTTTTTTGGCGTGAATGCTTCCAAAAGTACAGGAGCGGCGTGACGCGTCTGTATTTTTCCATAGCGTGCTGCCCTTGGCCCCACGTGCGTCGTACTTCTATGGCTGGTTGATTGAGCAACATTTTACTTCTCATCAACAGCAAACGTTCATGCATGCTCCATTATTGCTATTTAATTGTAAAATGTTATCGTAGCAGTGATCTCTCTGTTTTTACTCTACATCATAGATCGACACGAACTTTTGTTGACCTTTTGGGCCGAGAGAGCGCTCCTGTGGCCAATCTGATCCCTATCGGGAACCATGGTGCTATCGAGGTAGTGGTTTACGGTCAAACCACTTGAACATCGCTCAGCGTAGCACGTGCTAGGTGCTACAGGCACACGTGCGTTCTGGTGTTTACATATCATACAAATGAGAGCGTCATCACACGTCAAAAGCTTATTCACCTGAATATTTCGTGCAATCTGAGCTTTGCATGCTGCCATGTCGTGTTACTAAAGCATTGCCCCGTTTTGAGAATCACAAATTTATTGGTCGAAAAATGTCCGTTTTCGGACCGTCTCTCCTTTTTTGGTGGGCTAAATTTCCTGTTGGAGGCGATAGACATTGCTAAATGCTGGCGAAGTCTGTAAAGAAACAATACAAGCACCAGCTGAAAGCATGTTCGTTGTACACGAACGCCCCCAAACAAGGCGAATTGCGTGACTCTTTTGGGGGATATCCCCAGGAAAACTTCATACGTGTTCGGTACTTGTGCACAGTGTCCTTCGAAAGTCCATTGATGGATTTCTTTTGATCGTTTGTCATCATTTTTTTCCGTGAGCGACCCGCTACCGCGTTAGGCGCAGACCGTTATGAGAAACCTGCTTCACTGCTATGAAGCGTGCACTTCCGCTGCCAGTCGTACCTACCTATGTTCGCGAGTTATGTGGAGCTAATAGCCTAATAATCATTTGATCACATCACGTTTCCAAATAATTAGTCCGCTTAGCCTGTATGGCACCGGTCTGACTTTGTCGAGCCATGTTTTCTGACAAGTCTGGTTTCGCTGCGCATTTCACTCCTTTTCCTCGTCAAATTATGTGATTCGTTTGTAATTTTAGTTGTAATTGTATGTGTAGACGCCTGATTTCGTATTATTGTGACTTGTTACGTCTACCACATAACCGTATTAATCTGCCTTATACCCATAGTTCCCACAAAACTGAGGTGCTTCGTAACCTGTCTGACATATTTCCGCGAAAACTGCTTCCGCGTGCTCGCTGAAACGGTGGCCTTGGAAACTTGTTCAGCGCGGTTGGTTGACAGGTATTCGCGTTCCCTGCTGCTCGCAGCCAGCTGGTAGTGCGTATTTCTGGGCGGTGTTTTACTGGACGCTGCTATCGCATTTCGCGAGCTGACGTCACACTTTGGGGCAGTGTTGGAGATAAGAGTTTGTTGATATCTTCATCTTCATGCAAACCCAATTTGACACGTATGATAGCAGCGCGCTGCTGTCGTCGGTGAAACACCGCTCTGGTGTCCCGGCCCTCCTCTTTCAATGTTGATATGCTCGCTGGGCTCGCGTTGACTCTCGTTTACCGTAAACATGCTAACCCGATCGATGGGCGAGCGTGTTAACCAATCAGATGGCGCAACACATCGCAACAGCCAATCACAGGAGCTGAAACGTCGAGCGTTTGACAGCCAAAGTCGCCTCAATTTGTTCAAAGAATTGGGGAACAGCCTCCGAGGGTTCAGACGCAGTGAAGGTAAATACGTTTCTCAACGAGGGTAGCGGCCTGATGACATTAAGGTCGTGACCTGATGACGCTACGTGACCTGACTTGATGACGGACGTGGCGCTGGAAATGATTGAGCGGTGTTGTTTATGGTAGTTGTCGTATGAAGGCAATCCCGGGCAGAGAGAGTCCGTCAGGGTAGGATAACAGCATGCTATGACTCTCAAAGGAAAGGATATCAGCTGAGTCTTCTACTCGAAGGGCATTGCAAAACGTGAGGCTTCTGATTGAATTCCGTTATTCGAAACAGCTATACTTCCCCCAATCATGCACTTCGCCAATCGTTACGGCCAACGCTAGCCAACAAAGAAACGCGAACGCATCGCCACACTCTAGCCCATGGTAGTAAACACTTGAAGTCTGCGTGCGCGGGCACCCTCTTTCCTCGACGATCCTGTCATGCGGACTGACGTGTCGGTTGCATTCCAAACGAGTCGGGCCCAGTCGGTTTTCCGTTCCGTCCCGTGAGTCAGCCCTTTGTGGCGGTGGTGGCCGCTCGATGGATTCGAGGTGCTGGCGAGGTGGTCTGTTAGCGTGAAGTTTCTTGCCACCTTTGCTCAGTTGTTTCTGTACCGTCAATGCCTGAAGTCTTTCGGATGTTGTGTGGAGATAATGGGCGAATTTTCACTCGCTGGGGTGGACGCGCCTTTGCTTACAAGGTCGCTAGCCACTACAAAGACGTCTGCAATCGCGTCTGCACTCTGAATTTCATTTGCATTATATCCGAGCCGCCCTGTGATATCCTAATGTACCGCTGCGATCTGCAGGCGATGTATCCATCAGCATTAAGCGAAAGTGCATCATTGCACGTCAACTAGCGCAGGAACGAGGACATAGTATTAGTCACCTTGAGGGTCGCATGGTCGAGCTAGACAGTTTGGCATTGTCCAGTGGGATAGCCTGGTTCTCCTCGCTTCTTAGACGGTTATTTGCCTCTTGATGGGCCTATTTCGTGGTCTTCGAGTGTTCGTTTCGTGATCGTTTTTGATTTCGTGACGGTTGAGAAGGTCAGCAACATCCTCAACATCGCACTCAACTGCGACGTTACAGCTTCAACGTTGTTGGCGTTGTAGCTACAAGGTCTTTGATGTTGTAGTTCCTACGTTGCCGCTCTAACGCCTTGCCATGATTCTAGCGCTGTGTTCCCCGGCTAGTTCCGGACTCCGTTCCGGACTTCTGGCCGGGTGACAGGGGGAGGAATCCTGACGACATGTGGGTCAATGGACCACTGATACGTGACCCGGAGGATGGAGCCGCGGATGCGCCGGGAGCTGCGAGCCCGATCAATATGAATGCCACTCCCTAGGTGATGGATGAAGGCCAGGGTGAATGCCAAATCTGGGGGAAATGGAAGCTGGTTGGATGTGTAAGGCGTATTGGTTTGATCGTATTGGTAGGAAGCGCTGGCCGGAGATATTTTTGGAACTCGTTTTCATTGTAGTGAATCCGTCTATAGATCGCTACAATCACAGAACGAGTCGTTCGTTCTAATGTTACTCGCTGTTTTCCTCCTAAATGACTACGGTAATGCCATTTATGCAGCACTTATCTTGTGTTCATGATGATGCCAACTTTCAGTCGACTTTGCTCTCAGCAAATGTTCATATTTATAGTCATGGAATATAACTGACACAATGTTTGGAAGTTTCATTTCCTCTCTGAGCGAAACCCTTTCAAGGAGATTGACCTTTCACTCATCCCGTTACGTCCACCCAATACGTCACGTTTTTACGTCATCCGCTACGTCACGGTCACTACGCCACGGTCAGCCACTGGCCTTCGCCACCCGACTTCTCAAATCGATACCCGGGGACGCCAGTAGAAGCCCGGGTCGGCCGCCCGGCGCTGCGGCTCGGAAGAGCGAGGGAGCGCGCTGGGAGAGCAAGAGCTCTCTCCTCGCCGGGAGAGCAAGAACGCTCCTCGCTGGGAGAGCTGGGGAATCCCTCGCTGGAAGAGATGAGAGCTTTCCTGTTGAGAAACCCAGAGCGCTCATAGCCGGGAGAGCTAGAACGCCGTTCGCGGCACTCTTGGAAAGTGACGCCTCACTTCAGTACCCCCGTGAAGAGCATCCCGAAGCACTCGCTGCACTCGCTGGGAGAGTGACACTCCTCATCCTAGCACGTTCGCTAAACGATCCTGTATAGCTCGCTCGGTGGCAGCGGTACGAGCTGCCGCCGGCGGGCCCGAGCTCGCGCGAAACCCGAGCTGCCGGCGCCCGGCCCGGCGATGCTGCTGTGTTTTTATAGCTCGTCGCCGCCGCCGGCGTGCGAGCGGTGGCGGTGGGTCGTTGGATTACGCCAGCACGGCCCGGCGTAGGCTGTTGAATGTTGGCACTGTTGGTTGGTGGGACGAGGCATTGGGGAGAGTTGACAGGGACAATATCTGGATGCAACTTTGCGCACAGTTGAGAATGTGGGATGCTGAATCAGTATCTCTTCAGAGGTCCGCGTTGCTTTTAGGGATGTGCGTAATAAGTGTCTAATGCGAATCACTCATCCTAGCTATTGAGACGAAATGCAACCATATTAATCACTTGATCAATTATCTTCTAACACCATAAACTTCATCGTGCTCCTACCAAGAGGAGGTACGCGGGCCCTTTCTTTCTGAGTTGAAAACTTGTGGCGATTCTGTCGCGAAACATCCGAATCCTTCGAAGTTTGCCAGTTGAACACAACTTTCTGGGGCTTCTCGATAGCTGAAGCTTTATTTCATTTTTAGTTCAACTGATGGCGCCTGAAGTTTTGCACTTGATGTGAATAAACGCTCAAAGGAGATGTATGGCCCAACTGTGGTTGTTTCCTGGCCGATGTGGTTTGTTGGCTGTTCACCGAAGCTATGGCGAAGGTTAGGCCTGTTTCTCGGCGACCTTTCATCAGCAGTGGGTCTGCCTTTCGGTTATTCGCGTTTGTGAAACGATGTTCTAATGCTTCTCTCTCTGGGAGAATATGTATATTACCTGAAAATGAGCCAGCAGAACGGCTAATATTATCCTCTCGGGTCCTTTAAGAGATAGATATGCGCATCGCGCAGCCGTCTGAGAGGCGGGGCGACCGAACCTAGTCCAGAATTAGACGGGCTGGCGGTGTTTGAATGTGCCCCCATGGACCGATTTTGTGCCATTAATCAGTGGCGCGGGAACTTCTTCCAGACTGGGGGGGCTGAACCATCATAGAGATCAACCTAGGGTACCCCTAAATCTAGTTTTCTCATCGGTTTTAGGCCACTTATTTTTCAGACCTTGGCCTTTTCAACGAAAAAAAAAGAAGAAATTATTTGCAAAAAAAGTGAGGTATTCCATCTCAGCTGAGTGAAGAAACTAACCGTTTTGGCAGCCTGGAATAAAGGTTTTAAGCTGCCAAATGAGTTGCCGAGTCAGTAAAATAGGTAGATTTTTCACTCACATGCTTTCTTCCTTTGTGACTCACAACCCCTAATTTGGGGAGGACAAGCTGCCCCAACGGTTCCTGGCCTCATGAAAAGTTGTGAAGCACCGCCCCCACGGCCCCAGAGTTGTGAGGGCAAGCTTCCCCCACTGCCCTCTCCCCCGGTTCCCGCGCCTATGTATGAATCTATGAAATTGTGTTGGTAGATTTTCGATTTCGATTCCTCCAGCTGGGGGGGCTCAAATACATTACGAGCCCCCCCAGCCGAAAAGTTGGAGGGGCTCAGCCCCCCCTAGCCCCCCCGGTTCCCGCGCCACTGCCATTAATGATGCCCATTTTACTTCATGGCTAAATTTAATTGAGTAGGATCTGTTACGTTTAGCATGACGCTGTTTAATTTCATGGAAAGCATTCCTGATGTGGATCATTTGTACGTTATTTTGAAGTTTCCCAGAATATGGCGTCGCAGTCCGACCTCGCCAGATATTGCATGTGCTTTGCCGTGGAATATGATTTATGAGCCTTTTAGCACTGGTCTTGTGTTGGCCTGTATGGCATCGACCTACTTTGTGTGGCTATGCGAACTCACCGGATGTAGTTTGTCTTATTGCTTTGTGGGACCCGCTGGACACATTTCTATGGGAGTAAAAGAACGTTCGTGCTTAGTGCGCAATGCACAGGTACTAACAATATACGGTTCGAAATCAACTTTCTACGATGAAACAACAGGTGCAAAACCTCGTGAAAGTGGAGGCTGGAGCAGTATACCAGAGTTCTTCCTGGATTAATATTTTATAGTAACTGACGTAGCAATGTGTTAAGTTATATCCCACAGCCAGCTCACTTATTTCGCCGGTGTGATACAGCAGCACTGGACAACACCCGGGTTAACGTGACGTTATACGATGAAAGCCTCCACGACATTGTCACGAAAGAAACGACGGTCGAGTTCGGCTCGACGATTATCATCGCTGAACATGAGCAAAAACGGTGAATTGGGCCTCCTTGTCGATTATAATTTGCCGTTGCCGTGCTCAAAAGAGTGCACAAAACATTGAAGTGTACATATTTTGCTGCAGTGCAATGCAGAAAGAGGATTGCTAGAATGCTCACTTGGAAATCGAACTGGCGTCTGGCACCGTGTTGCTTCGGTTGCTAGGTGCTGTCGAGTGATATTGTTTTGGAGAAAAAGGCGACTTGCATTGCCTCTGGGAAATGGGACGGTGTGCCTCATATGGTCTAATTAGAACACTGGCATTCAACTGTTACGTGTTGCCGTTCTCTTCATGAGGGTCTTGCGGGAGTTGGTTTCGTGGGTGTGGGCTTGGCGTCTAAAGGCGTCGCTCTTCATGGTCACAATATGTACCGAAGATAGCATTGTATGCCCAAAGCTGATAAGATACACGGTGACAGAACATAAACCTGAGGATCCTTGTAGCCAGTAGCCTGCATAAGTTAGAACTGATATAAGGTCTAGTTCTGGTAGCTCCTGAAACCATAAAGCTACTTGTTATAAGTAGCGTGGATCTATTTTTCTTCATGATACCTAAAGGTTAATGCGAGCATCTGATCTTGTAATCCTCGCGATTGATGTTCTTGATTATTGTCACGAGTTCATCGCTCATAGCTGACAAGCTGCTACAAACGCAGCAATCAATCAAATTACTGTTTTGTGTGTCATCTTTACATCTCGGACATTTGGCACCGACCCTCCATGTGCCAGCACCACCGATCAGATCAGATAAGATCAGATCATTAGTCAGCCGACCATCTGCCCCACACCCAGCCGGCCTGTGTGTTCTGGTGACTGCTGACCATGTTCGATGTCCTGTAAACATTGAACGGTCGATCGGTAACCCGTAAACAATGTGAGCCACCCCGGTGGGACCAGGCAGGGTGGTGACAACGACGGGAAACAGGATGGGAGAGTGAATGGTAGATGGAGAGAGAGCCATCGCAAAACCCAGTGACTGTGTCCCGGGTGAGCTTGGAAGCTTGGAGCCCCGGTGAAACGTGGAAAATTCCCAAAAACCCCAATTCATCATCAAGGAACGTGTAAATCTCGTTAGTCTTTCCCAAACTGCCCACTTTAATATCCATGCCGTTTTGGTAAGTTGTCCGACGATACTTGTGTTGAAACGCCACAATCGCATGAGAGCGTAAATGTATGCTAAAAAATCGGTTATGGTTATATAAGGAGTTCGCGCTGACAGCTAACGACTCAACCTCATCCAATGCCACTAGTCCCATCCCCGCTGTTTTAGGGCCTTGATCCTCGCCCCTGGTTGCGATTGACGCCTGGGGCCTCGCCCCTCAAGGACGGTACCTGTGTGGACCATCGAAGGCCTCCCCATAATTGCTGTGTTTGTGTGCGTGTGTGTGCGTGAGGGTCAGTACGGGCGCGTAGTAGTGTGTGCGTGAGTCTTGCGTGAAGGTTTTGTTCGTGATTTATAGGGAGTTATGTATAGTCACTGTAGAAAAGTGACTATACATAACTAATTTCCTGGGAAAAATGACTTTAAAACAACATATTTATAGGGAGTTGTTTGTGAGCCTATGCGTGGTTTTCTGTTCAGTGTTGTGGAGGTAGGTGTGCTGACGTGCTGTTTCTGTGTGTATGAAGAAATGTGTTGTGTGTACTGGTATGCTGTGTGAGATTATGAGGATCTTTTCTGACAAGCTCACACAAGAAAGACTTGAAGTGAGCAAAGGCTGTTTGGTGTAGTCAGTGCATTGCTGTCCAGGATCCCAGTCGGCTGTAGCATGGGCTATGCATAGGCGACTCTCTCACTTTAACCGGCTGAAATATTCATAAGGGGCTCAGGTCACGATGAACCGATGGGTTGCTATGCTTGGCTTGTTGTTGCAGCTGGGCTTGTTGCATGAAGTAAGATAACTATGGCCGAGCTTAGCAACGCAACTGCCAAACAAAATAATATGACTGAGTTATGTTGTGATGTGTTCCACACACCTGTTTGCTTCCCGCTGTTTCCATGTGAAGTTCCGTTAGTTATAGCGCCGGCCCGTGCACTGAATTCGCACCTGTTGAAGAGCCCCTCCGAGTGGTCTTTGTTTGGACACGTCCTCCTCATTCTGACCCTACCCCATGTACCGGCACGCGCTCCCCGGCACGGCCCGTGCTGCTCCGTACCTCTCCGTGCCGGCCTCGTTACACCGAGTGCTCGGCCGAACCCTTTCACCGTTATGCTCAGTTCGCGTGACGGCGGTGTGTGACGGCGTCACGGGACGGTGATGTGACGTCTCTCGTGCGCGGGTATCGCCCTCCCTGTGGTGTGTTCTCATGTGGGCGGGATTGTGATGGGTAATAATTATCACTGGCTGTTAGTAACTATCAAGCGTCCTTCCGGTGGGATAATTGATTCATCAGCTGATGCCTGAGGGGAACCCCCTCCCCCACACGTGGGGCTCCGTACATCAGCTGAGGGCAGGGGTTCTCAGAAGACCAGCTGTGGCCGTGCATGTCGCTGACAGCCTGCTGGGTGCGACTTTTGTGAATGTTAAACGCAGACTCTGTGACAGATTTTCCTGTAGCCGGCGACTGACATGTGATACAAGGCCATCGCTGGATTTTAACGCCTTAATTAGGGTGTGTTGATGTGTTAGACATGTTTTACGCACGTTTTACTGGTGTTTGACGCTCAAAGAATGTGAAACGTGGTGACGCAGTGACTACATGAATACCAGGTGTTTTAATTAACCTTGCGTTCTGTCGTCTGAAGCCGTTTTTCTGCCTGGACAATGCCCTGACCTTATATGGTCTGTTTGTTTCAGTGCTGACCTGCTGTGACCTGACGGGGCCAGTATGGAGACCTGCCAGGCGCTCCCTGCGCCTGGGTCGGCCCCGCCCCTCACCTGTGACGTCATCGACACGGACATCGACGGTGGCGCCACCACGGAGCAGCGGTCGGACGACGAACTACACTCTCCGCCGCCCGCCTCAGCCAATATGAAAACTCACCGCTCGTCCCCGACTTTTCCGAATGGCGACCACGATATACTTAACTCTGGATCTCAAGAAGACGACAGCGACGCTGACGCGCGGCTCGACGATTCACCTCCCTGCGATTCACCAGACTGCATCGAAGACGACGCGGAAGGCTCGCCCGTCTCCCCGTCGGAAGCGTCATCAGACCCATCGGCCCCGACGCCCCGCTCGTGTATGCGTCGATGTCGACCGGCGCGGCGGCGGTCGGACTCTGCCGCCGACCGACTGCCGTTCTCACCCCTCCGGCGCGGCTCGCAGGCGCCGCCGCCCCCTCCCCGCCGCGTGCACTTCCCAGAGTCTCCTGTGACAGCTGTCATCCCCGCCGCCGATCCGCTGAGGTTACTCGGTGACACCAACGCGGCCGAGGCGTACCGCGCGGCGTGCGTACGGCACGGGGCGGCGCCTCTGCCGGAGGTTCTCCGGCAGCTGGAGCAGCCCTCCGCAGACGTGCTGCGACTCTCCGGGGTGAAACTCTCCCTCTCCGATGTGGACAGTCTAGAGGAGGTGATGAGGCGCCGCCGATGGCTGCGGATTGAGGCGGCCGACTGCGCGCTGCGAGGGGAGACCCTGGCGGCCCTGATGCAGATAGTTCGTCACTATGATGCGACTCCGTGGCTGAACCTGGGCGGCGCGGACAGCGAGCGTCTCGGCTGGGCGGCGGTGTGCGGCGCGGTCCGGGACGCCGGCAGACGCTCGGCGCTGCAGTGGCTGGCGCTGGACCGGACGACTCTGGGTGAGGTGGCGGCCGCGCAGCTGGGCAGGAACGTCCGGGACAGCTGGCTGAGGGTGCTCCACCTGGAGAAGTGTCACCTGCACGGCCGACCGCTGCTCACCCTGCTGGCGGGAGGACTGCGCGCCGCCACCGGGCTGCGGCAGCTGTACCTGGGAGACAACGGACTGGGCTCGGGCGACGGATCACTGCTGGGAGCCGCGCTCCGACAGAATACCTCCCTCCAGCTGCTCGATCTCAGGAACAACGCGTTCGACGATGACGCCGCCGGTTATTTACTAGCAGGTCTGGCCGAGCAGCAGCCGACTCCGCCTCACACCGGACTTCTCACACTGAACCTGTGGCACAATCAGCTGACCGAGGAGTCTGCCGGACCCATCGCGGCGCTCCTGGCGGCTCACCCTGCCCTGGAGACGCTCAACCTGGGCTTCAACACTCTGGGGGATGCCACGGCCGCGCGGCTGGCTGAGCCGCTGACCAGGCACGGCCCTCTCCGCCGACTGGGCCTCCAGGCGTGTCGACTGGGCGACGAAGCCGCCACGGCGCTGGGAGGCGCTCTATCCGCAGGGTCAGGTCTGGTGAGATTGGATCTCCGAGGGAACCACCTGACCTCCAGCGGCCTGCGTGCTCTGTTGGACGCCGTTCAGGGTAACACCACGCTCCGACAGCTGGACCTAAACCAGGAGCCGACCGCCGAGCCGGCCCCGGAGCGCGCGCTGAGCTCTGTACCTGAGGGCGCCCTGTCGGAGTCCGCGCAGGAGACGAGCTCTGACGTGTATGACGGAGACCGGGGCTCACCCGAGAGAGCTGATTCGGGGATCGACTCGCCGGCAAAGTTCGCTAACTCGGGCGGCAGCGGTGATGGCGATGGTAGTGGAGGAATGGAGGGAGAGATAGAGCTCGAAGGCGCAGCGCTGGGATCTTCAGTGGATTCAACTCTGGGGAGCTCGGCCGGGTCCAACCCGCCTACATTCTCAGCAGTGACCGACCGGCGTGACTCTGGGGACGGTGCAGAGTCGGGCGGCGGCGACTCCGACTCTGACTCCACACCGGTCGGGGAGTACCGCTCCCTGTACCTGTCACTGGGAGCTGCCTGTGAGGAGAACCGTCGCCGACCTGCGCCGGAGTCTGTCGCGGACACCCCGTCCCCGCCGCCGGCAGACGCCGACGACGAGCCCGGCTCCGGGCACTGGCTGCGGCGCAAACTGTCGGCGGCGCTGCGGCGGGTCTCCCTTACCTGCGAGACACCGCCGCCCAGACTTCCGCAGCCCTCTAGTGTCTCTTCCACAACCTCTCCCACTACCACTACCACTACATCCACATCAGCAGCTTCTCCATCGGGCTCCCCGACCGCCGCGCAGCCCGTGCCAGTACCTGAGAGACCGCGCCACCGGCGACTGGTCAGTCCCAGTCCCTCCCCCTCAGAGAGCCCCCTCCCCAGCCCCACCTCTGGCCGGCCCCGGTTCCGCGTGTTCCGCGTGTCGTCAGCGGAACTGCCGCCCGGTACCCCGCCGCTGATGCGGGGTCTGCCTCGCACCCTCTCTGAGTGCGATGGAGAGTCGGCTCCCAGTTTTCTGCGCGATGGCAGTCCCGTTCCGACGCGACTGGAGAGCCCCGTTCCGCCGGAGGAGGACCTATCGGCGGCGCCGGTGAGGAAGGACAGTATTGTGGTGCTGAAGGAGCGCAGTCATCGAGCGCACGCCGGAGGGGGTGATACGGGGGAGGGAGAGAGTGGTATAAACGGTCTGACAACCTCTCTGGAGAACGTCTGTGAACTAGCCGGGGAGACCTGGAGTGACGAGATGAATCCGGAGTCTTCTCGACTCACTAACGGCTCTCTGAGTCCGCTGGGGAAGGGCTGGACGCGGGCATCCAGTCCGGGGAGTCTGGACTCGGGCGGCAGAGGCGCGGGGTCGTGTCAGACGCCGGTGGAGCCGTGGCGACCGCCGCCGGCCGCCTCGCCACGGCCGGCCGGTAGGAAGTTCAGAGTGACACCGGTTAGGGAGACCATCGGACCGGCCTGAGAGCGCGAACAGAGCGGAGGACAGGAGAGAGGGGCGGAGCGGGGGCAGAGTGGCGAGTGTTGCCCGTGAATCAATAGTACAGAAACACTGTAAACGCTGTCAGCAAAACACTTGCAGTTGTACCGTGAAACAACGACGCAGTGAAACGAAGTGACGCATCGAGAGAGAGCGAGGTGCTCCCCTCACAAACCTCCTGGGAGCGAGTTCGTACCTGTGACTGATGGAGCGGCGGGGCGGCGTGCTGACGTCACTATGGCGGACCACCGGCGGCGGACTGTGATTAGATGACGTGTGTGATAATCGGCGTGTGATGACTGATGTGTGCTGTGACGAATGTAATGTGTGTGAGCCGTGAGGTTTAAAAATCGTTACAATGATTGTTAGGGATTGTTATGTCTGGGATGAGAATGATAGGGCGAAAATGGTGTGCCTTGGAGCACCACTCGTAAGCGTTTGTACACAATTATTGTGGTTGATTGTTGCCGATAGTGAAACATTGTCTGTAGAACAGCCTGGTCGTTTGGAGCAGAACTGGTCGGGTGGCACTTGTCTGTAGAACCCTATGCTGCTCATTCCTCTTACACCGAGGAATGTGCGTTCGAATCTCAGAAAGGACATCGGGGGAGGCTGCCCCGGTCCCACTCGCAAAACACCGCGCATAGACCTCCGTACACAGGTGTAATTATATGCACCACGGTATCATACCACGTCAAGGCTGGTAGGATGGGAGGCCCACATGCGGAAACAACTGTAACGCTGCGCCCAGCAAGTCTGCGACGACAAAGTATACCCCAACAGCTTCAGTTAAGCCCACACAAGTCACAAACGTCCGCGAACCCATTCTAAGTAGTCGCATCCCACAAACACCACCGCCATCCACCGCCGACCGCTAAGCTCAACACGTCACCTCGGTGCAGGGCGCCTGTTGAATGACATCACTTCCGTCAAGCGGAAGGTTTGGGAGCGACACGGGGGTTATAGGGACCCCGAAATCGGATTGTGGAGCAGCCGATGAGGGATTACGCGGTCTGAGGACGAACTGCAGAACTCACGGTTTCATCAGCCGGAACTGGCGATCGATGGTTGGTGGAACGAGAACAGACAGCGGCCGGCCAGTGTGGCCAAATTGGTGATGTTGCGGGGAAAGTCACCCCTAATGAAAAGTATAATGACATCCTCAGAAATTTTAAAATTAAATCATCACCACGTTTTTGTCGTGAAAGCATACCTAGTGTAGGAATAAAGACTAAAAATGTTCCAATGTACGATTCGCACCGTCATACTCGTATTGTCGCGCTTGCAATGTTGTTTTTGTTACATCTTTAATGACAATATTTGAAGTTTTTTTTTGTACTTTCCACCAGAACTTGTTTCCACCAGAACTTGATGTCAGGTATAGTTTTTCCACATTACCTGTAAAAACTGCACCTAAAATGAGGCTGAAGACGAGTTTTTTTTTTAAAGACATCCTCGTACGACTTTTTTAATACATCCTCCCCCTAACGCTAAACCAATTTGGCCACACTGCGGCCGGCATCCGTCGGTCACAGTCCAATCACTGCGATCACTGAATCACTGCGATCACTGATCACCAGTCACTGCGGAAACCGAGGTGGTAGCTACTTGGGGCAGATTGCGACATTGAAGGCGTGTTCAGTGTTTTGTTCTAAGAAAATGACGTCTCTAAACTGGAGCTAAGCTCGAACGACATCTATGTGTAACCATAAAATAACACATTTTTTAGACACGTACTAAGAACTCATTCCTCGCTAACATAACTAGCCTTAACAACTCACCATACACGGTAGGGGACAGCGAGAAAGGATTCGGCATAAGGCACACGGGAGGGCAGTGCATGTTCATAGCAAACAATGTTTGTAATTGAGGACAGAATGCGAGGATAAGTCTTACAGCGCCCGGCTCGCCTCAGCAGGAATGAAATAGCGACAGACATGTAAATCAGAATGCGATATTCACGACACAGGAAGAGCACATGCTCGTAGTACCAACCTAGCGCATCCCAGCTCCCACGCCCAGAGGCCTCTTGCACAGATCTCGCATATTGGCTAGTTCACACATTCTCACGCATTCCCGCACATTGACATTGACTTCAGGTCACTGCAGCTTGGTCCCTCCGTTTTACCCTAGCGCGTCTGACATCTAAGCGAAAAAAGTTCACCAAGGCGGTTCACCAGCTGCACTTGCCAATCCCACTCGGTGAGAAATTGAGTTGAATTGACAACTGCTGCTCCCTATGTGTTCAGAAAAGATGTAGTCCCGCGTAAGCATGGCATCAGCCACTGAATTGACCAACGACTAGCTACGGTGTATGAACTACCAGTGACTTCACAAAGCCGGCTACCATCGGCGCCAGATCACTCAGATAGTACGCCAGCCACAGACTGACCGTGGAGGCGTGGATGGCTGATGGACCAGTATTTCTACTTTCTGGGTTATTCTCCTCGACGCATTCAAAACCCACACATGACACTTATTCCTCATCGCTACAAGCTACAACTCTCAATGACGCTTTCAGTCCACTGAATCCAACCCCGCCCCTCCCCACTCCTTATCCCAGACCCCCGCCGCCCTCGATGACGTCACAGCTGTAATTCAGGTGAGCACGTGCCGTACGACTGCGCCGCCCTCCCTCAGCGAGGAGATCCTGCCGACATGTCGCAGCACCACCAACAGCTGGCGCATCGCCTTACTCAGAGACGACTTCTTGAACCGCTTAAAGTCCTCCTCGGTGAAAAACAAACTCCCTGGAGAGAGCAGGAAGAGTCAGTAATGGGGGTAAAGGGAGCAAGAGCGATACTAAAATAAAGGACACCAAAGTTGGTTTCAGTGTTCAATCTACAGCAATCAAGCACAACTTCCTGTCAGGTTCTGGACACGTCGTCCACATTGAAGGCTATCGTATCCTCTCCCCAGTCCCACAATGACGCCCTTTTCTTATCCAAACAGACCCATCCTCCCACACTGCCTCTAAACTGTCCCACTCTGCTCTCTCCCTTTCTCTAGCTCCACCCTCTATCCTTCTCCATATCACCACCCTCTACCTGGCTCTCCTACATTCCTCTTTCATCCATCCCATGTATCCCTCACCCTCTACCCAACGTAGTATCCATCACCTATACAACCTCCTCTCTAGACCTTAGCCCGCCCTCTTTCCCTCCTCTACCCACCTTTCGTTTTGGGGTTCTCCTCCCGTTTGCATTCCATCCAGAGTTTCCTCTGCGCTCCGGACAGCTCTGAGCGGGGTCGTCGCATCAGCGCATACCGGGCCGCGATCACAGAGTTCAGCTCCTCCAGCAGTCTGAGCGGAGAGAACAGTCGCAGGTCAGACGGACAGAAGTAAGAGGTCAGAGGGTAGATAGCGGTCAGATGGAAGACGGGTCAGAAGGCAGAGAGACGTAAGAAGACCAAAAACAGGTAAAAAATCCATACAAGTGACCCGCCAGATGCTAGAATTGTGACCTTCCATAGGTCAGAACTGAGACATACTATGGCAAGGGTTTGACATAACTGGGGTTATGCAGAGATCAGAGGTCAAATGGAGGGCAGGCGTCAGTACGTCACAGGAGTCAGCGCTGCGCTCCGATGTAAGACAGATGTCAGGGCGGCCAAGCTGAGGTCAGAGGGCTGACCAATAAGATCTCAGAGCGTAAAAAGAAACATCTCCGTTGCTTACTTGTTGGATTGGTCGCGGGTGCCTCTGCCACGCATATACTGAGGCACAACGTTGAACTCGTCCACTGTCAGGTAGGCGATAGATGGCACTGGCTTCTCCCCGTTAGACGACGTGGCAGTGCCGGGACGGCTCGAGCCAGACGCTGTGGAAGATCCCCAGGAGTTGTGGTTAGATAATATAAATTATAAATAGCACGACATATTCTGATACTGCGGAAAGTGGATTAGACATGACGCTCAAAATTCATCTCACATGTTGAAAACTGCTGCAAATATCAGTGCACATACCAAGAACTAACGGTAAACATTTTACAGCTACATCCTGATGAAATCCATAAAGCTCCAATCCAACAGATTGCGCAGGAACATCGCTTCCTTACAAAACGCAACATCAACCGGACTCGTAGCCATAAACTAAAGATGCCATTGCAATATAGTAAAAACAAATGGCAAAATTTCCTTGAGCCCCATGGTAAATCATAATTTGTATGCATTAAAAAAAACGCATGATATGATTTATGATTTTTCCATGATATGATTTACAGACACCAAACATCCGTGCAGCCCCACCAGCCACCACAGCCAGTGCCCAGTAACCCACCGGGCTTTCCTCCTCCATTGGTCTGAGCCGCCGAGTTGGCCGCCGCCTTCTGTTCCGCCTGCAGACTCGGCAGGCGGGAGGGCAGGTTGGTCATCAGGTGCTCGACGCGGGCCCGTTCGACTCGCAGCGACGCCAGCGTCGCCTGGCGGAGAGAACCGGAACTAGTTGTGATCGGCTCGGATGTGATCGGCATGACGGCAGCGCCAACTGGTGGCCATAACGTGAACTAGCCTGCGACCACAGAGGACGGTTATATGATTGACTGGCGATTTCCACAGCTGGATTCTTTAAGGTGTGATGCTAAATTAGATGGCACTGGATAGCTGATAGCTAATTTCAACATAAAACATATTACATGAGGATAACAAGCTGAAGCATGAGTACTACTAATTGCATCAGTTTCAGTTTATGCAGGTTCTTTCATTCAACAGACATTGAGACATTCCGACATTTACGTGACATTCACTAGCCAACAGACATTCCGGCCAGTTCACGTGATGGGCCAAGTCCCCGCAGGCCACCAGCTGGGTGCCCGCCCAGACCAATGTCTTCTCCTGGTTGCTGTCATCATGTCTTTCCTGCTCTGCAAAGGCCTCTTTAGACCAAAAGGGCCCAGTGTCCAAAAATTATATTTTTGCTCGAGTGTCAGAGGGAAAAATTGCTGACCAAAAAGGGGACGGGAGTGAAAAATTGTTGGTCAGATAAGACCCAAAAGAATGGGAAATGATCAAAAACATTAATTTGTCTAGAATTGTGGCAGATTGTAGGATGCAAAGCAACCATCCACCCAATTGCTCTTTCTATGTGGGATTGGGAGTGAAAAATTGGTCTTGAAAATTGGAGGTTAGAGTGGAAAATGATTTTCAGTTGGATGTCGTTTCTCACCCAAATCGACAAATTTTGGGACACTGAAAGGGCCTAACCCAACAAAACAAACAAAATGCATCTACCCACCTAATTGACCACGGAGTGCAGGCAGCCTCCCCTACTCAGTACCCACACCCTGCCCTTGTGCCTGTCCCAAGCTTAGGCTGAAGTCAACCACCACATTGTGTGAGTCTGTGGCCCTGCCCAGCCCCACTCAGTGAACCCAGTACCCATCCAACCTCGCCATCCCTTGTGCTTATCTTCCTCCATCCCATCTCCCCTCCCTTCTCACCTGGGCGAACTCCAGGTGGGCCTTCTCCTGGTCGACGGCAGCTCGCAGGTCGCGGAGGCCGCGCTGGATGTCCGTCACGTGCGCCATCATCTCGGACACCTCCTCGGCGTCTCTTCCGGCGCTGACATGCAGCCGGAACGCCGTCTTGGCCGTCTCGAATCGCGTGGAGAGACTGTCCGCCAGCTCAGAGATTGTGGCGCACTCCATGGTGCGTGCGCGGGTGGTCGGAGCTGAAATTGGAGACAATAGTGAGATGAGGTTTGGCAAATGATTTCAAAGTTGCATAACTTAACGTGGGTGTATGAGAGCTATCTATGGATGGGAAAATGAAGCCTAAGATAATCTCTTTTAACTTTGGTACATTACAATGGCACTGTAGATTGTAGAAACTTTTGTGGAGTTTGCATCAGTTTATTTTCACTTGAGAGATATTAGATTAAATAAATATGCTGAAAATTCGAATTAAAGTTTTTTTTTTAGAATTTCAACAAATATTCATTTAGTTTCAAATTAAGAGCTATTAATTGGGATTTAGAGGCAAGAGCCAGAACAACTTAAAATAAATTCTCAGAAAATCAAAACAAGTTAATATGTAATTAGGGATGAATCTTAATGTTGCAAAAAAATCAAAATATGTTTTAATATCAAACAGGAGCCAAATGTTGTAAATCAATAAGCAGCATAGGATATAAGGAAAAATGCCTCGGGTTGGGATTATCAGGAAATTGTTTAAAAGCAATTTATTGATTCAAAGCAAATAATAATTTATTATGATGACATAAGTATACAACAAAGATTACAAACAAAATTACATGAAGTTCAAGTAACAACAGCAAAAAAAGGTATTCCATATTGGTGCAGCCATGGTGCAGCAAATCCTTAAAACAGTGCATTCAGCATTGTGTTCACAGTGTCAACAAACTTAACACATTCTGATTCCAGGCAATCCAAGGTGCCTGTGTGAAAAAAATAAATAATAAAAGCTTGTTCATTGTCAAGAAATAATTGAATTAATTTGACTTTATGCTGACACTTGGGCGGTGGTATCTCTTAACACTTGGCGGCACTCACACCGTCACCACACACACAACCGTTGTCCGTTGCCGCTGGTACGTAGTCACTAGTCAGTGCGGAATTCAGGCATGACACCCTGGTCAACATAAACACCTTAATTTCACAAATTAAAATTGATTGGCATTTAATGGGCATTAATTGACTAATCTATCTTTATCAGCATTTAATCCAAAGCAAAGGACTTGGCTTCAGGACAACTTACAAGCCCAGGATAATGGATATGCAGGAAAATGCCCCAATACGCACGTTATCAATGCAAACACTCTTCAGAATGACAATTTCTCAGCCCTCTTATAAGCTTAATGTTTTGCCAAAAGCATAAATAAAATCAAAAAGACTGAAATTCTAATAACAACTAAACACAGGCGCTCACACGCTTTGCAATATCGACAACTCTGACGCAGCGCGCCAGTTTCATAATTCGCCGCGGCAAGCGAGTGGAAGGTAGCGACACCTGTCGAAAGCTCTTACAGCGACACCTACAATAGCTTATTCCGGTGACCGCAAGGGACATGCGACACCGCATATTAGCTCAGCGAATGCGCCATGCAGCGCTCATGCATTGCACCGCATGGATGAAACAAAATCGAGAGGAAAATGGTCAACCCTCCTGTTCCAGGCTGATAGTCACCCTAATCCTCAGCACACAGCTGAAGGACTACGAAGGTCGAAGGGTATATCACCTGTCAGTAGAGCCGCAGTGGCGTATCCAGGGGGGGGGAGGCCAAAGGGGTGTTCACGGGCACCGCACACTGCTGCGTGCGGTGTGTGCGGTGCGTCCAGCAGGCGTGGGGGTAGGGGATGGGTAGGCGGTTCTGACGTCACGGCTGCGTGCGGTGGACGGTCCGCTGTGGCCAGTCCCGACCGGCCACAGCGATCGCTGTGTGCGGTGACGGAAGGCTGACGTAGGGACGCAGTGGGCGGAGCTTCGAGGCTGTGTGCGGTCCGACCGCACACAGGGCCCGTGAACAGCCCTCAAGTTTGATGGCCTCCCCTTTGGCATCAAACATGCAAGTGGGCCCTTTGGGTCACTTGAGTGCAGTGACGTACCCAAGGGGGCCATGGGGGCCCTGAGGGGCGCCCTGGTTACCTGAAGGTCCCCCTGGTCACCTGAGGGAGGGCCCCCTGGTTATCTGAGGGCCCCTGGTTATCTGAGGGGCCCCTGGTTGCCTGAGTGGCCCCTGGTTATCTGAGGGGCCCTGGTTATCTGAGGGGCTCTGGTTATCTGAGGGGCTCCTGGTTATCTGAGGGGGCCCTGGTTACCTGATTGATCCCTGGTTATCTGAAGGACTCCTGGTCACCTGAGGGGTCCCTGGCTACGGGGGCCCTGGCCTGGCTACCTGAGGGGTCCCTGGTTTCCTGAGGGGCCCCTGCTTACCTGAGGGGCCACTGATTACCTAAGGGGCCCGTGATTGCCTGAGAGCCCCTGATTATCTGAGAGGCCACTGGTTACCAGTGGGGCCTCTTGGTATATGAGGGGCCCCTGGTTATCTGAGGGGCCCCTGGTTACCTGAGAGGCCCCTAGTTATCTAAGGGACCCTAGCTACCTGAGGGCCCCTGATCCCCTGGGTGACCCCTGGCCAGTGATCTGAAGAAACCCTGGTCACCTGAAGGGCCCATTTTCCCCGGGGAGTACCTGGTTATATGAAAGGCCCCTGCAGTCACATAAAGGCCCTTAGTTACCCGTGGAGCCCCTGGTATAACCGTCCCCTGGTTATCAGAGGGTCCCCTGATCACCTGGTGGGCCCCTGGTCAATTAAAAGACCCCTGGTCAATTGAAAGGCCCTGGTCAATTGTAAAGCCCCTGGTCACCTGAGAGACCCCTGATTACCTGAACGGCTCGTGATCACTCGGTTTCAATGGTATGGCCAGGGGCGAGGGGGCACGTGTCCGTTATAGGGTTTAGGGCCCCCTCGGGCCCGAGAGGCCCTGCGGTGCCAATTGGCGGCAGAGGGCCCGCGCTGGCAACGCTTCAACTGGATAGGAGACCACAGGGCGTGTGAGAACACCCCATGGGCTATTGTGTAGCCACACTTATCTCCAGAAGGGCCTCACGCGAGGTTCTGAGGGACCCTGCCGGCCCTGAGGGCTCTTGCCGGCCAATAAGGGTTCAGCTGTAAGGGCCACACACCCGTTTGCTATGGCCCCACGGCCCACACCCGCGCCCCACTGGGGGGGGGGGGCTATTTATAGCCCCCTCCCGTTTTTCTGCAATAACTTCCAAACCGCTTGACGTATCGACGCCAAACTTTCAGTATCTTCGGCTGCATCAATTTGACACCTTGTGTCAAAATTTGAACTTCGCAGCTACCATAGGTCGGCCGGAAATGACGTCAGAGTGACGTCATGTTCGTCCGATTTCGACGCAAAACATTGAACCACGGCAATCGCTTCCAAGAGATCAGTTTTTAAGCTAGATCCAATTTCTTTGCATGAAAGGACTCAGAACTGACCGCGCTATCAAACTGCTATCTCGGATTTTCAAAATTTTGAAAATTTCGAAAATTTTATATAATAATATTCAAAATTTATATTTTTTCTTTTTTTTCAAAAAGTTTTAGACTTTTCGAAAAAAAACCGGAATAAATGTGACAGAACGCATGATTATGACTAACTCTAGCAAGTTTTAGCTAAATATCTTCAAAAATGGCCAAGTTATACGCATTATTGCAAAAAAATTCACAATTATTAATTTTTCAAATCACTTTTTCAGTACGTATTTGACATTGTAAACCAATATAAATGGCACCATCGTGTTCCTGAGCTCAAACTGCATCCAATAGACACCTTTTTTGTTGAAAAATTTTAACTTCAAAATTTGACCATTTTTGACCTGAAAGTGACCTGACCTAAGCTAAATTCGACTCAAAATGACCTCGAATGACACAGACGACATCAAATTCGAAATCTCTGGCCTAAATGGACCATAAAACATGTGTCACGTGACCGACGCATGATATAATATTTTCGTGACCTGTGATGACCTGACCCTGACCTGAAAATCAAAGTACAAGTTTGTTACCCTCAAGGTATCTAGAGCATCTGTTCACGAGTGTGGAAACCAAAAATGAGCCTGATCTGACTTGTAAGACGGCGGCCAGAGCCCAAAATGTGAACAAGCCAAAGTGCTAATAATTTTTACTTTGACCTGACCTGTGACGTCATCGGTGACCTCGAGGTCAATGAAATTAGGCTTCGCTCGACAGTTTTTCCGGGGCTATCAGACGATGTTTGAATTTTGACGATCGGCCCAGTAGTTTCGGAGTTAGGAGGGGGGGGGGGCTATGAATAGCCCCCCCCCCAGTAGGGCGTGTTATACACAGACCCCAGTGGGGCGCGGGTTAAGGGCCTACTTCGGCGACTCTGAGAGCCCCCACACCGGTGCCTCCAGGGCCCTATGCAGCGCATCTGACGGTCTCTTACCAGCGACTCTGAGGGCCTCTTACCGACCTCTGAGGGTCCCTTGCCGGCCTATGAAGGGCCACCAGTAACTTTCAGGGCCCCACACACGCCTAAGTGATGGCCCTCACCAGTGTCTCTAAGCCCTAACCCTCGCGGGCCCGGGGGGGCGTTTTTCGCCCCCCCCCCTGGCGAATATTTGCGATAACTCCCGAACGCTTAGGGATAGGAAGGCGAAACTTTCAGTACCTTTTCTCCCATCAATTTGACATCTTCTGAAGTAAAAAATTTGGACCTAGCCCCCTTGATGACGTCACAAGGTCCATTTTTCTAGACACCTGCACGGCAAAAATCGGCGTCACAGACGCAAACTTCAAATAGCTGCTAAAAATAGAGTTTTAGAGATAAAGACAAATTACGAGCACGGCTGTGTAGCGTTTGACCTAGAGAAAAATAGAAAAATAGTTTTGGTGACCTGAGGTCAGAGGTCAGGTCAACGACCCCGAAATGTGGTTTTAGTTTTTCGCAAATAACTTCGACAAAAATGGTCATAGAGCTACGGCAGTGGTATTATCGCATTCGCCTTGTCAAGCCGCGTCGAATGATATATATTTTATTCGGAAAAGGTCAAGTTTCATGTTGACCTCATGTGACCTCGAATGACCACTGGTTGACCTTGACACATGAAAGGTCGTTTATGATGGATTTGTACCCGCTGATCACGAATCTGGCATCTATTTTCCTCTAAGCCTTCATTTAGAGCTTCCGGATGGCAAAATTGTCTTATTTATTATTACTAACTTGAATCAGTGAAATAGCCTCTAGCAGGGATACTCTTCTGTGACCTTGACCTTTGAGCAGCCTTGTATCGTAAGATGAACCACAAATAGGGAACTGATAAGCCTCAAAACATTTCAAAACATCTTGGAAGTTAGCACGCAAGATGTGCGAAAAAGTGCCAAGTTTGAGGTCAATTTTGAGCGTGACCTTGACCTTGGCCTTTGATTTGGAGCACATTTTCAGAATCCTCAGATTCTCTTCTTTCGTTTGACACCCAATTTTGCCGGTTTGATGCAGCCTGCCGTTCTCTAGAAGGCAGAGGCGGATCCAGCTCAGAGGTTTGGGGGGGGCAAACCATAAAAATTTATCGATTCTTTCCATGCATCGTCCATAGGCGTAATGTTAAAATCATGCCGTTTGGGGGGGGGCAAATGCCCATTTTGCCCCCCCCCCCTGGATCCGCCACTGCTAGAAGGCTTACTTTGAGATCACTACACATGTGCCGGTTTTGGCCTTTGACCTTGACCTCTGACCTTGAAAATTGACCTGAGGTCAAAAATTTTAGGTGCATTAGAATCGTCTCGTAAGGACCTTTCGTTTGGTATCGCTTTTGTTTCCGTAGCTCCCTTATTTACGGAGTTAGACAGGGGGGGCGAAAAACGCCCCCCCCCCCCCCGGGCTGCGGTGGTTGGGATTACCCCCCGGGCCCGGCCGGGCTAAGGCCCTCACAACCGCGCCTGTGAGGACCCCACACCAGCGCATCTGACGACCTTTCACCGACACCTCTGAGGGACTAACACAGCCTGGGTAGTTGGCTGTTCCACCGGATCGGTAGGTATCGTCCAAACCAAAGGCCGGACGAGCCAGAGCGTGAGCAGCTGTCACGCCTTAGCCTGGTGGCTATCTCCGTTCAAAGCTACACCCGTCTTCTCATTCCATGGTGTCACGGCCCAAAATGGTGGAGAATGAGGCAGTCCTGCGGTACGACTTGCAGGCAAGGGGCATACGGTATTGTGGTGCCCTTGGTATTTGGTGCCCCCCCCCCTTAAAAACATGCACGGATTTCGGCAAATTACTTTTCGGGATGGTTGTGGTGCCCCCTCAGACCCGGGGGAGTGCTCCTTCAGACCTCGGATTTCGGAATGGTGCCCCTGAAAACTTGTAATGGTGCCCCGGAGACCTCGGAATGATGTCCCCGGAGACAGACTTCGGGATAGTGCCCCCAGAGACTTCGGGATGGTGCCCCCTCTGCCCTCAGACCTCGGGATGGTGCCCCCAGACCTCGGGATGGTGCCCCGGACCCTCGAGATGGTGCCCCCTCCGACCTTGGGATGGTGCCTGCGGAGAACTCGGGATAGTGCCCCAGATAATTCGAGATGGTGCCCCCGCGGACTTCGGGATGGAAATAGCCCCACCCGAGGCGAGGGACAGAAATGGGCCTCCGGGAGACCCCGAAAACGGCACCCTATTCCGATAGACCTTCTGTATGGTGCCCCCTTAGGAGATCTCTGGGTTGAAGCTCCCGTCGGTGACCTCCGTGATGAATTAAAAAAAAAAAAACATTCGTAATGGTGCCCCCCGGGAGGCCCAAGGGGAGTGGGCGGCATGGGCCCCATGCCCCCCTGGATCCGCCACTGGACACAACAAGGCAGACTGCTGCGAGCTCCGGCAGCTACGCGTCTCGGGTCGGCCCGGTCACGTGATACCGCCCGGGGTCATCATGTGGGTCACTTTGTCTCACAACCTATCACAAAGGCGGCTCCCTGACCGCAGCCGCCGCCGCGGCAGCAGCACCCGCCCGCCGAGCAAAGGCACAACGAAACGAAAAGGCACAAAAATTATAACACTAAAATAAAGGCAAATAAACACTCATGCGCCCACAAAGCGCTTACACATTATACAGCTACATGAAACGGATAAAAAAAATCAAGTAAAATCATTTCAAAAACGATGACAGGCATTGCGCTTCCTTGACCATAGTTAGTCTAGCTGGAATAATATATATTAACACATGGTTTCCCGTGTGTAAATGGTGTTAACGCACGACGTGGATGGATTGGAGCACGAGTGTGTTAATGCACGAGTGAAACGAGTGCATTAACGCACAAGTGCTCCATTCCATCCACGAGTGCGTTAAAACCATTTATGCACGGAAACCATGTGTTAAACTAATTAATACATGCTTAACGGTGCGATTTTAAATTAAAGTTAACTTAATCCATGACACTAAATGTGCCTTTTGTGGGAATTCTTAGAATAAAGTTAATGACCCTTCCGAAAAACTTCAGTCGAGAAATTCATCAATGCACGCGCGTGCACCAATTTAAATTGGTGCACGGCTACCTTCGAATTAACGCACGGTTAATCTCCAGTGAACGCACCGTAAAGTATGTATTAATATCACTTATTATAGTTAGTTACTTTACCACCACGGACTGGTCTACAATAAAGTCAACCACGTGACCAAGCTGTCAATCGTTCCTTTTTCCCACTATCCCTCTCTCCCACCATCCCTACATAATCCCTACATAAGCACTGCAGCCCACTGCCACTAGCAGTGCAGGGGGCTGGGCGGGCGGGGGCGCAGCGCCCGGGCCCGCGGGTGCGAGCACGGGGCGGCGCGGCGGTCCGGGACTATTTTCGGAGGCACACATCCGACGGAGAGCCGCCCTACCGAGAGGACCTCCAGTCGACACAGCTGGTCTCCACGTGTGGCTGCTCTGGGGACGTCGGAAAAGCGAGCAAACTGTACCGCTGCTGCAGCACAAGAAAACTGCTTGGTGGTCACTGCGGCAAGGTAAGTAATCGATATTTGGTGCGTAGGTATTTCATTTCTTTCTTTTTTAACTCGGACACGTGTGCTGACTGCTATGTATTTGCGTAGCTAACGTTCGTATCTATGATCATCGAACAAAAACGTCTGAGTGTTTTTGCACGTGCATCGCATCGAATTCTGAATAAGTTCAGCACGTGCGATCGTGGATAAGACCAAGATTCTTTGAGATATAAGACATCGAAAAAGTGATTTGTTTGTCACCAGAGACATGCGTTAAATGTAATTATAAAGCTCTTGGGTGCCAGTCAATCAAGTGATAGTGATACCGAAATAAATTAATGTCTCATAAGACAATGGAAAAGTATAAAAGGAAACAGTTCCACTTTCCAGGAGGTGCACACCTTCATGGTAAGTGCTAAGTAGGACTAATCTTGTGTCGCTTTTTTATCGCTATAAAATAGCCGTTCGGGTAACATTGGCACCGTGTCATGTCCATACAATGCCTAAACATGGGTGTAACTTTGTATACTTTCGAGGTCCCATGTGGGACCCCAATGCGAACATTTGGGACCCCAATTGTCATTTTGGGACCCCAATAGTGGAGGCCCCCGAGACGCATCAGCTACTTTGCAAACGGAGGTCCGATATTCATATAAAAGGTTCTCTCTTTAAATAGGAGGCCCCTTGGACAAATCGGAGGCCCTGTTGGACAAATAGGAGGCCCCCTGAACAAGTAGGAGGCCCCCGGAAAACAGGAAGTCCCCTGGAGAAATAGGAGGCTCTCTGGACAAGTAGGAGGCCTCCTGGACAAATAGGAGGCCCTAGACAAATAAGAGGCCCCTAGACAAATAGTAAGCCCCATGGACAAGTAGGAGGCCCTCTGTACAAATAGGAGGCCCCCCTGCAAAAATAGGAGGCCCCCTGGACAAATAGGAGGTCCTAGACCTAGACAAACAGGAGGCCCCTTTCACAAAAGGAGGCCCCTGGACAAATAGTTAGGAGGCCCCATGGACAAGTAGGAGGCCCTCTGTACAAATAGGAGGCCCCTGCAAAAATAGGAGGCCCCCTGGACAAATAGAAGGTCCTAGACCTAGACAAAAAGGAGGCCCCTTTCACAAAAGGAGGCCCCCTGGACAAATAGGAGGCCCCTTTCACAAAAGGAGGCCCCTGGACAATTAAGAGGCCCCCTGAACAAGGAGGCCCCCTGGATAAAGAGGAGGCCCCCTAAAAATAGGAGCCCTCTGGATAAATAGGAGGCCGCTTGGAAAATAAGAGGCTACTTTAACCAATAGGAGGCCCCTTGGACAAATAGGAGGCCCCCTGAACATGTAGGAGGCACGCTGGACAAATAGGAGGCCTCTTGGGCAAAGAGGCCCCCTAGAAAAATAACAGGTCCCTTGGACAAATAGGAGGCCCCCTGGACAAATAGGGGACCTCTTGAACAAATAGGAGGCTCCATGGACAAGTAGGAGCTAGAGGCTCTCTGTACGAATAGGAGGCCCCCTGGACAAATAGAAGGCTCCCTTAACAAAAAGGAGTCCCTTAAAAAAAGGAGGCCCCGGGACAAGTAGGAGACCCTTGGACAAATAGGAGGCCCCTGCACAAATATGAGACTCCTAGTCGAATAAAAGACCCCTGGATAAATAGGAGGCCCCTGGACAAATAGGAGGCCCCTGAACACGTAGGAGGCCCCCTAGATAAAGAGGAGGCCCCCTGGAAAATAGAAGCCCCCTGGATAAATAGGGGACCTTCTGGAGAAACAGGAGGCCTCCTGGACAAATACGAGGTCCCATAGACGAATAGGAGGCCGCTTGGACAAATAGGAGGCGCCGTTAACCAATAGGAGGCCCCCTAGACAAACAGGAGGCCCTCTGTAACAGTAGGAGGCTCTCTGTACGTACAAGAGACCGGCGCTGTAGAAGCTTAGCCGTATGTACGCTAGGAGGCTCTCTGTGCAAGTAGTCGAAGTAGGAGGCTCTCTGTACTGTACCTACAATTACAAATAAGAGGCCCCCTGGGTAACTTAGATGCAACACAAATCGGAGGTCACCTATAAAAAAGCGGGACTCTGTTGGAATACCTGATTTAATAAATTATTTTCCTGATATTCAAATTACTTAGGTAATCCTCGTCCGCACATGGTGGGGGGGGGGGGGGCAGTGGTTGCCACACCCCCCACCCCGACCTAGGTAGTTTTTTTCTGCTCTGCACTAAACATTTTGATTGCTAGAAGTCGGATATTTCGTATAGCTGCTGCTCTATCCTTTTTTAGCATCCACTGATAATTTCAAGTTTCTGTGGTTTTTGGTTTCGGAGATATGACCTTATTCTTCAGGTAATGTCATAACCCAAATGACAAATACCCAATATCTTGCGTTGGCGTTGGGTCTTGTGAGCTTTTGACACCTTGATTTCGGCCTTTTTTGTCAGTCTTACCTCCCACCTATCATGGAACATGTTGTTCAATGATGTAGAGATGCCAGGGTCAGGGTCAAGGTCAACCTAGGTCGTCTAAAAATATTGCGTTTTAGGCAAGCTGAATTTACTTTCGTGAAGTTTCTTTGACTGTATTTTTGGCAAAAGCTTCTCAGTTCATGATCTCATGTAATATGGACACATTCACAGTCGGTGCACACATCAGTATACTCGTACACACAGACACACACAGACATACAAACACATGTCATTGACCTTGAGCTAACTTGACCTGAAATGACCACAGCCAGCAAAAACCTAGTCGGATAGTGTGACAAAGAGGTTCTAGCTGGCTTGGCACCACAATACGGCAGCGTCATCGGTACATGATGAGCAGCGCACGTGATATTCCAACGGGCAACGGTGACCCCAAACAGCAACATTCTTTAGTTTGACCTGACCTGGAAGGTCAATGACTGACCTGATGAGGTAAAATTGGTATCATTGGATTCGTCACTTCCCAAAGAATCTGTTGCTCTTGACCGCAAGGCTTAAAATCTTGTAAGAAAAAATTGTGGTGATGTCGAATAAGATACCTACACAAGCAGCGGGCCAACCCATCATATACCGATGACGCTGCCGTATTAGTGCCAAGCGAGCTAGAACAGCTCTTTGTCACACTATCCGACTAATTTGCTGGCTGTGGTCATTTCACGTCAAGTTAGGTCAAGGTCAATGATATGTGTTTGTATGTCTGTGTATGTCTGTGTATGTACTGATGTGTGCACAGATCGGTTTGTGTGTCCCTATTACACTTGATCATGAACTGAGAAGCTTTTACTAAACATACAGTCAAAGAAACTTCACGAAAAGTAAATTCAGCTTGCCTAAAGCGCAATAATTTTAGATGACCTAGGTTGACCTTGACCCTGACTCTGACATCTGTACATCGCAGAACAACATGTTCATGATAGGTGGGAGGTAAGACTGGCAAAAAAAAGCCGAAATCAGCGTGTCAAAAGCTCACAAGGCCCATAGCCATCGCAAGATATTGGGTATTCGTCATTTAGGACATGACATGACCTGAAGAACAAGGTCATATCTCCAAACCCAAATGCCGCAGAAGCTTGAAATTTTCAATGGACGCTGAGAAAAGATAGAAAAGCAGCTATACAAAGAAAATCAGGTTTCTAGCTTTAAAAATGTTAAGTGTAGAGCAGAAAAACTAACTTGGGGGTGGCGACCCTCCCCCCAGGTGCCGGCGAAGGTTAACCCTCACACTTTCTGGGGTCGGCTTACGGCTAGATTCCTTGCGCAATGCTGTGCCGTTAATTTTTTTTCTATTATAAAGGCATTGTGTTTTATTGTCAAAAGTGAAAAAGCCAGAAATTTTCGTCGATTTCGGATGCCGCGGGGGATATTTACATACAATGTCACCCTGCTGGCCTGGATCCACCAGTAGGGTCAGGTGACCTACCATTTCTTTATCGATATTAAAAAAAAAATCATGGCATCAGAGCTGTGACGAAAAATAAGTGGCCTAAATCCGATGAGAAAACTGGATTTGGGGGTACCCCATGTTTGGCTTCTGAGCCTCTGGTCCCCCAATGAAAATTTCTTAGAGGAGGCCCTGGCGTGGCTCGTAAATTACCGCTTCCGCAATTGGAGGCCCCTAATTGCTTGGAGGCCCCCACTAAATGGAGGCCCCCTTGGACGTTTGGGACCCCAATGGTGATGTCAAAGTTTCACCCATGTGCCTAAATCGCATGTCTAGTGTTCACCTGTCTTGCCTCATGTTTGTAAGTGACAGTGCAGTGTTGTATACCTATATCATTAGTCCAGTATCAAATAGAATCGAGGTGGTGTCTTACGTGGTGTGTCAAATCAAGTGTTACTTAACAGCCATCACATGTGCAATGTGCACATTGTGCGAGGTGCTCGATATGTTGGTATGTGATGCAACCTTTAGCAATGTGCAGTAGTGCTATCCACTGGCGGATTTAACCCGCGCCCTGGTGGGGTCTGTTTATAACGCGACCTGGTGGGGGGGGGGGGGCTATTTATGACGTCACAGGTCAGGTCAAAGTTGAAATGTTTCACCGTTCACGGGTCATCTAGGGATGCGCTATAACACCGAGGAAAACGCATTTTGTCGAGAATCAGCGATAGGGCGTCAGTTGCCTAGTAGATATGTTGCTATTAGAGGTCATTGACAATACCAGGTCACGTCACAGGTCAGGTCACCAAGGCTCACAGGTCAGGTCACATGAGCCCAACTTTACTAAGGTTGTGTGATGTAGAGTTGCAAAATTTCCCTACCGCACTACCGGCATGCCGGTAATTTTTCACTACCGCAGGTTTTTTCGTGGTATCTGGCATGTCTTGCCGGTAGCATGCCGGTATTTTTGATTTTGCACAAAAAAAATATCAGCATATGATTCAAACTTTGGACACTAAGAGGCTATTGAATTGTAATAAGTTGGACAATGGATGGCTGCTGGGTGGGGCGGTTACTGAAATTGCCAAAATGTGGCATCTCATGTAGGGGTAAGCCAGAATCAAGAATGCAGGTTTTTTAGTATGCCGGTAATTTGGCGGTTTTTTTG